TGCTTTCCCTTTTTTCTGCTGCAGCAAATCTTCCTCCCACAACTGTAGGTAGGGATAAGTCTCTTGCTACTCTTAAATTTTAAAGGAAAATCTCCTCCCAAGCTGCACTGTACTGCAGCCTCTCAGCTCAATAGGGCTCAGCTGCCCCCCAGCCCCACCACGTGGGCTCCAGAGCCTCCCCCAGCAGGGTGTTTGATAACATTGATTTTAATAAAGCTCTGGGCTTGTTTTGATGGACGGATCCAAAGCACTACATGGATTTAAACAGATCCCATTGCAAATATCTCTATCTGATACCCCTGGCGTGACTGGACTGCAAATGTCACTTGCTTAGCACTATCAAATATTTAATTTGCGTTGTAATAGAGGAGCCTTTGAGAGCTCCAGCTTAAACTGGAGGTCTCCTGTTAGCCAGCAGCTCTCCACAAACTCACTTAAAAGCTAATTTCTGCCCTGAAAGCTCCTGACCCAGATGCAGGAGTGAGGGGAGCTGGGAGGGAAGACCATGCCCACCTCTGCTGTGGGACGTGCTGGAGCCCTGCTTGTCACTGTAAGTGCTCGTGGTGGGTGTCCTCACCTTTGCCATGGGAACCTGTGAGTGGGGGAAGGGGATTGGCACTGCCACCACCATGGTGCTCATGCTGGTGCTTGTGGTGCTGTGCCTCCAGTGGCACTGCTGCTGACCCAGCTGTCAGTGCCTGCAGTGGGGGTGGCAGCTCCCTAGGAGCTGGCCTGGATGTCATTCTGGATCCTGCACTTGTGGAAAATCTTCTCTGGGAACTTCCCTGTGGCAGCTTCACCGAACAGTGAGGGGAGCACGAGGTGCTGCCAAGGCTCAGAGTCTCCCTGAATTCTCAGTATTTTGTTTCCCTGAGTTCTCTGTATTCCATTTCCCCGGTTCTCTGTATTTTATTTCTCAAGAGAACATAGTGGCTCTGTGAGACGTGGCTCTGCCCTAATCTTTGTGCTGACCACAAGAATTCTGAAGGATGCTGTGATCTTGTCAGGTTCTCCTCATCCAGCAGAGAGGCTGGGGTTGCACAGCCAGGGGGGGAGATGAATCCGTGGAGCCTCAGTCCTTCCTCTCCCACTGCTCCTTGTGCTGTGCTCACACCTGAAGCCGAGCCCTGGGACGGAATGTCACACTCCCCGCCTCTGTTTGCTTTGCTGTTTTCCCTGATGGTTTGAGAGCAGGTAGCAGTGCCCAGGTTTTGCTTCCTAGAGTGGACAGGCACATTCCCTGCCCTGCTGCAGAGAAGCAGCATTGTTCCCTCCATGGTGTCTCCTTCAGCCGGGTTTCAGCTGTCCTCGCTGCCTGGGAACAGGGCTGGGATCTGCTGATTCAGGGGACACGCAGCCCTGCGGTGTTAATGATCTTGATGTGCAAAGGAGAGGACAGCGCAGTGGCACCGTGCTCCGTGTGATGCTCCCTGCCCTCCTGCGAGGCTGCAAGATGTCCCACTGCCCTTCAGCGTGTGGGAACAGGCTGAGGGGAACCCTGGAGAGCACCTGAGGGTAAGAACCGGGCATTTGGGGGATTCAGAGCTGAGGGTTGTGGGTGGTCTGAGCCCTGTGTGTGCCTGCTCCCTGTGCCAGGAGCCAGCCTGCAGCCTGGAGCCCTTGAGGAGAGACAGCTCACACTAATCCTTGCTCTGACAACGGATGCTTTATGGACTGATCCTAAAATGTGCCTCGCTCTGGCATTAGCAGAGCATATGTCAGGGCTGGGGGGGCAGCTGGTTTGATGCAGTGTTATGAAATGCTGGAAGTGCTGCAGGCATGGCCAGGCCCCTCCAAAACCTGCGGTTTGCCTGGATCTGCTCAGCTCTCAGGCCAGGACATTGAAGCATCTCCTGATGCTATAGCAGGTCCCCTGGGCCACCTCCATGTCCAGGGCAGAGCCCCCTGTGCTCATTGCAGCGAGCTCAGTGGCCTTCCCATCCCTCCACCAGCAGCCAGTGCCTGTTCATGAAGTTACACAGGGAATTCTCTGGGCCCAGACTTCGAGGCAGCCCAGAAAGCTGCCCCATTCCCCCATCTCCCCTGTCACTGAGAGCTGCTGTCAGGTGCATCCGCCTGCTCTTGGCTCAAGGTGGCTCCCCCAGTGCCACCCCCTGCCAGCTGGCGCCCGCTGCCCCGCGTGACGCCCGGGGCTCTTTGGGAACTTGCTGAGCCACAGGCACCAACTCGGACGTGCCGGCTCTCGTCCGGAGGCTGCTGATGAGCGCTGATTTAGTGGCGATCGAACCGCATTTGAAGTGCTCCTTGAAATATGAGACAAGTGTCTGCAACTCTCCAGGCATAGGGGCGGCTGCGGTGCCCTGACGGCCGTGGCACAAGGGCAGGAGCCAAGGGCAGGGCTCGGAGTTCCCTTCACCAGCACCAGGTAGGAGCCTCCTGTGCCAGGCTGGGGCACCAGGTGCTGCCTTGAAGAGGCATTGCTCTATCCTGAGCCCAAATGGGTGGGTGGGCTGGAAATTGCCTGTGCCAGTGGTGAGGGTTCTGTGAGGATGGTGGGGCTGCTGCTACAGGGGGTCTGGGGCTCCCTGCTGGCTCTGGAGGGGGACACAGACAGGGACCCTGGTGCAAACATGCATGGCAGTGGCAGGATCACAGAGCTGCTTAATGGTGCAAACCCTGAGATGATGGGATGCAGTGACTTGAGTCGTGCTTGGGTGAGGTGTTGTGGCAGCTCTGGCTTTCCTGAGGGTCCTTACTGATGTGAACAGGGACCACGGAATTGGTCCTTACTCACGGGGTTGAGGGAATTTTGTGACAACTATTGGTGGCCACTTTCATACCAACATTTTCTTTTACTTCTGCTGCTTTTATTTACTGTTGTGTGTACTCAGCTGGAGGAAAGGAATGTGGATTCGGTAGAATGTAATCTAGTGAACTCAAATAAGATTTTTTTTCTTCAGTTTTCTTGCTCTCTTGCCAAGTTCATGCACTTTCTGTTCAGGCAGTGTTTTCCCTGATCCCATATTACTGAATGGAGAGATCTCCAGTTAGCTGCTGTCAGGTCCCCTCAGCTCTGTGGCAAAGGCAGTTTGACTTGGGGGGAAGTTCTGGTCCTGTGTGTTCGCTCTGTTGAGTTCAGGCCAATTAAAAGTCCCATGAGACACAAACTGGTGTTGACGGCAGGAGGGAGCACAAGGGTCCCTACTGAGGTAGGACACTAAGAGAACATCCCTGCACAGGTGTTCAGGTTGCATGTGATGGGAACCTCTGTCCAGGCTGGGATAACAGCACTCCCTGTGCCCAGGGTGGCCTTTATGGGTCTGCCCCCAGGTTATTCAGAACACAGGAAATGAAGGAAAGGGCCTGACCTGCATCAAACCTGCTCTCTCATCAGGATTTTGCAGCTTGGCCAGACCCTCACTGCCCAGCTGATGTATCTCATGCCTAGCCAGCGGCTTTTCTGGGTTGCTGTGGGATGCTGTGGGATGCTGTGGGATGCTGTGGGATGCTGTGGGATGCTGTGGGATACTGTGGGATGCTGTGGGATACTGTGGGATGCTGTGGGATGTTCTGGGATACTGTAGGATGCTTTGGGATGCTGCTTCAGCACAGTGGGTGGGCATGCAGCCACTTCCAGTGACTGCAGCCTGTGCGGGAAGTTGTGGTTTCTGGAGTTTGCTTTGCATTCAGGAACTGAGTAAAGGATGACCCAGCACGGGTCTCCTTCAAAAAATCAGCAGCCAAAGAGACATCCCCTGTGAGGTTGGCAGAGCCTTTGGCTCTGAAGGAAGGGCAGCAAGAAGTACAGGTGGCAGGGTGTCATCAGGGAGGTGTCACTGATGCTGATCAGCCAGGTCAAATCTGGGCAGTGGTGGGTGAGTGGCAGCTCATCTCCCACCATCCAGGAGAACCCTTGGGAAGACTACCCAAAATTTTGCAACTGATTGTGATCCTCCTGCATAGAGGAGACAAAAGCTTGACCTCATTGGCCCTGGGGTGGGATGGGTGGTGGAGCTGGGATGCAGTGACCCTGTGTTCTGAGCTGGGTTTGGCTCAGAGCCCCTGAGTCACCATGGAGGTGTCACTTCACCCTCACCTTGCCTTAGTTTCCCTCCTGTGAAAGTTAGCAGCACCCCCATCCCCTGGCCAAAAACTCCTCAACACTTTGCTGACAAGGTGAAATCTGCCCCAAAGCAGTGGTCAGTCAGGGTGCCACCAGCCTGCACACGTGCCGTGCCCTGTCCCGTGACCTGTCCCAGCCACGAGCCACCCAGTTTGTGGCCCTGACACCTGAGAAGCAGAACAGGCGCAGAAGAAATTAAGTGAATGAGACAACAAGTGTGCGTGCAATTAGGACAGACCTTCAAACGCTGCCCCGGGAGCCGGCACAGGAGCTGCTGCCTAATCAGAGCAACAGCAGTGCCCGTTTTAAAGACGAGGGAGACTTTGGGGATACTTTGTCCACATAATGTTCCAATTTTAGCTCTGCGTCCTGGGATGTAATTGCATTAAAAATACCCGGGGAGGGGGAGGATGCCAAGGGCACCCGGCGACCTGCCTCGGCTGGCGTGTCCCCACCAGCGTGCCGCGTGTCCCGCTGCGTCCCTGAGGCCCCGTCTCAAATTCCTGGTGCTGATCGTCTCCCAGATCTGCTTTCCGGTTGCTCCGCTAATGGTTATCCTGGGAAAGGCCTCCAGCTCTGTTAACAGCTGGTGGGGAAAGCCTCCCGCTTCTTTTGGCTAAACAGGACTATTGATGGTGGCACTCGTGGCCACCTCCGGGGTGCAGGAAGGTGCAGGAAGGGGCTGAGACGCTCTGAGGAGAGGGGGGCTCACCCAGTGGGTGGGTGAGTGGCAGCGCACCCCCTCCTTGCGACGGGGAACGCGCTGCCTTCTGTCCCCGCTGTCCTCCTGTCCCCGCTGTCCCCTCTCCTCGTTATCTCCCTGTCCCCGCTGCCCCCCAGTTCCCTCTGCCCCTCTCCCCGTTGTCCCCCTGTCCGCACTCTCCCCTGTTCCCCTGCCCCCGTCCGGTCCCCGCAGTTCCCCGTCCCCGGTCCCGGTTCCGCTGCCGCGGGACCCACGCGCGGGACGGGAGCGGAGCGGCGGCGCCACCGCGGGGCCACGACCGGGGCTGCAGCGAACCGAGACCTCCCCGGTGGAGCCACCCGAAGCCTCGTAGCCTGCTGGGCGCTGAGTGCTGGGCGGCGGCCACGCCGGCTCGACCCAGCGGGGTTTTGGACAGGCTGAGCCGAAGCCCCCGGTGCGGTCCCCGTGCAGCCCTGCCGAGGATGCCAGTGACATCCCTGCAGGGCACCCTTGGGTCCTGCCTGGCCACCCACAGACACCCTGGCCCCTGCCTCGGCCCCTTGGCGTGCCTGCGGGTATTTGTAAGCCGCAGCTGCCAGCTCCGAGGTGGTAACTGGATCACAGGGCTCGGGTGACCTTTGCGCCTTCGAAGCTGCTTTGCATGTCCCGCTGGGGTCGGGCAGCAGGAAAAGTGTCCCTGCAAGGCAAAGGCCACTGGAGGGCTGTCCCCAGATGGCCCCAGGCCCTCCATGGGCAGGTCTTCTCTGTGGTTTGGGGTTCCAGCTCCTGATGCAAGTTAGTCCCACAGAGCCCCGTGTTCAGGACAGGCACCTGCTGGTGGCAGATGGTGCCAGTGCCAGTCGTTCTCCTGCCGTGGTGGAGACAGGCTCTGGGACACCCTCACCGCACACAAGTTCTTCCAGCTGAATCTCTTGCCTGCAGAGATTGGTTCCATCCTAACTCTGCCTTGGGCCAACCCACAATGCTGCCCACGAATGAACAGAGAGACGTGGCCTGACACAAGCAGTGTCGTCTAGAGCTGGAAACTTGGAAGAAGTGGGTTGTTCTCTACTCCAGCACTAACCTCCTGGGAATGCTGCTGCTCATGTCGTCTTGCCCAAACGCTGTTGCACTTGCTCAGGGATCCCCTCAGATTCAGACGCACCACAGGTGTGGGACCTGTGTTGGGCTCTCCTGCCTCACCTGGCACCTGTTCCTGTCCCTCTGTCCTCACAGTGGGTCTGTCCTTCCTCCTGCAGGCATGAAGCGACCCCTGAGCCCATCCCACAGTCCCGAGAGTGCAGTGCAGCTGGTGGAGGAGGCCAGCTGCCCCCCCAGCCAGCCCGAGCAGCGCATGAAGCGGGAGAAGAAGCACCAGTCGTTCACACTTTGCGAGGTCTGCAATATCCAACTCAACTCGGCTGCACAGGCGCAGATCCACTACAACGGCAAGTCCCACCAGAAGCGCCTCAAGCAGCTAAACAAGGGGAAGATGCCAGCAGCCCAAGGTAGGAGCCCACCCAGCAGGTCAAGGTTGCCCAAAGGCTGCCCTTGCTCTGGCACAACTGCTCTGTTGGGCTCGTGGAAAGTTCAGAAATGCTGTATTTTGTCCTTGGCGTCTGTCACTTGCTGGTCTACCCGAGCTGCAGGGCTTCCCCCAGCTGTCACTGCCAGTCCTCAAGTGGTTTTGGGGCCCAAGAAGCCATGCTGCAGCAGCAGAGGGGTAGACATGTATGGGTTTGTCCATGTGCAAGCGTAGTTGCTGCTGCTCTGTCTTTGTGGGTGTCTTGAGTTCTGTAGCTGGTTTGTGCAGCGGGGACATGCATGTCCAAGGTTGGAGGAGCTGTCAGTTGCTGGGCTGCTGGATGCTGCTTTCCAGGTGCCAACTTAACCATGTCCCTCCAGGCTCCTGCTGTGCACTTCTCCTGTATCTGTGCTGAGTTTGATTCAAAATGCTGTTTAGGTGTTGGTGCTGAGGCCCCTCACCTGTTGGCTGTGGCAGGGATGCCGGCACACGGCAGGAATGCTGTCACGTGCAGGTGCTGTGCTGCTGGGCAGGAGCTTGTGCAAGGGCAAGGACTCACTTGCCCTCTGTGCCATCTGCCAGCATTCACCTGGCTGGGCCCAGCTGGCTGCTGCAGATTTTATGCACAAAAGCAGGGAAATGTGCCCAGAAATGTCACCCTGTCACCATGGCTGACCTGCTCCGCCTGAGCCTTTGGCTGTGAGGGTTTGTTGTTAGCAGCAGACCAAGGGAATTGTATAGAATCACAGAATGCCTTGGGATGGAAGAGACCTTAGAGATTATATGGTTCCCTGCTCCTGTCTGACTAGAGACTGGACAGGCTGGAGCCATAAATTCCTAGCACGGCAATAGTCATCTGTGTGCCAAATCCTGCCCTGACTGGTGCTGATTTTGTTTGGGTAAGGCCTGGGATATGCAAAGGAGCAGGTCTCTTCATCAACATTACTGACAGATGGAAATATCGCAGGCTATTTTAATGGGGATAGGGCTCATAAATTCCAGCCTGCAGCTTCCAGCTTCTCCCCTCAATCTGGTTGTGGCCTGATGGGAGGCTGTCCAGGGATGCATTTCCTACTGAGCCAAAGAATCTTGGAGCATTCCAGTCTGCTCTTTGTGTTTCTGCACCGTCCCTGACCTCTGCCAGTGTCGCACCCCTGGGGCCCCGCGGTGCCGGCCCCCCACGCTCCGCTCTGCCGGGCAAGGAGCAGCCGCTCCTGCGTGCTCAGGGCTCTGATCTGCTTATGTGGGGAAACTGCAGGCAGCAGCTGCTCCCTGCACCTCCCTGTCCCTCCTGTTCCCGCCGGAGCTGACCTTTCCCTGCACTTTTGGTTAAAAATGTCACTTCCAGCGTTGTCACTGTGAGCCTTTCTCAGCCTCCTGAGGCGGCTGGGAACTGACTGATGCGACTCCTGTGTCCCCTCTGCACCGCTCCTGACACTGGCACTGGGGGTACTTGGTGTCATATGAGTCCCCCCAAAACACAAAGGAGACCAGCCCTGTCTGCCTTGCCCTAGGGAGCTGAGGACAAGTGCAGGGCGAGCTCCTGGCTGGGCTGCAGCACATGGGCAGGAGGGCACAGGCAGGGCTGGCAGTGATGGGATGCCGGGGAAGCCCTGCCCTGCCTCATCACACTCCTCTAGGAGCCCTTCACCGGCCAGACCTGCACTTTCAGGTGCTGAGAAAATGCATCTGCCTGCGGTCCTGGGAGCAGTGACCCCTTCCTGGGCAGCTGCCTGCTCTGGGGCTGGGCTCAGCCTGGCACAGCCCACAGACAGGAATGGCTAACACAGGTCTCCAGTGGCGTGTCAGCACCGAGGGAGTCTTGGGAGGTTAAGGACAGTGGATTAAATGAAATAATTGAGTTAGACAAAGATGGGCTGTTCCTCTGGGCTGGAATCTCTGTCTCATGCTGACATCCACAGCTACATCAAAGGCAGCTTCCCAGCCACCACTCAGTCTCCCCATTCCCCTCTGGCTCCTCGGATCTGTTCTTCCTGCACAGGCTGTGATCGCTGGCGTCTCGTGGAGCAAAGCTGCAGAGGAGCGTCGCTGGCAAACATGCTAATCAGTGTCATTACAATTCATTAGCTCTGTACCAGAGAGCCCCCAACTTAAAAACAAATTATTGCTTATTAGATGTTTCTTTTGCAAGACAGATCCCAGATCCTTATTGTCCTGTATGGAATGATGGTGAAGGTGGTGATTAGGTACAGGGTGCCCACAGATGAAAGACGTTTTCATGCCACAGATGCCAGTTCTAATCCAACTGGGTCACGAGTGATTTAATTACTGCCTGTGATTTCCCAGGGAGCCCAAGCGATCTCAGTTTGCTCTCAGAGTCCTCGGGAAACAAACCACAGTCTGGTGCTGACTGAGCAGGAAGAGCTGAGCCATCCTGAAATGGGGACCAGGGCTGCAGGGGCATGGACAAGGGGCTCCTGTTCCCTCTTATCCTGGATCATCTCTGAGATATCTCTGGGAGCTCTCCTCACAGGACAGGCTGAGCTGGAGCATTTCAGAGCTTACACCCTGATCCATTTTTCTCCCCAAAAGTCCTTTCCACCAGTGTCTACAAAAAGTCATGGGAAGTAAGGAACAACTCACACACGCTGCTACCAGAGCATTGTCTCTGGGCTCTGCCAGCCCACATCTCTCTGAAAGGCAGTGGGAAGCACTCTCCTTTGGAACACAAGGCTCTGTTTTCCCAGGCAAATCTGAGCTGACAGCAGCTCATACCCCTTTGGCCAGGGTCCGTGGGAAGGACACACTATTCAGGCATCTCCTGTGCCAGGAGGGTTCACACAAGCCCCGAGCCCAACTCAAATCACTTTTCTTGACTTTGGAGGCTGCTGAGCTGCTTCTCCAAACCAAATGCCAAGGCAGAGCCAAAGCACCCAGAGGCAGCTGTGCCCTGGGGCTGATTCGTGTCCAAAGCTCTTCCTGCTCTCCCATACCTCCTGACATTGTGTACCCTGACCCTCTCCCTGGCTGCCCAATGCTGTCACCCCGCCCCACATTGGTGCTGTCCCCCCCTTGACAACACAGCCCTGCAACAACAGTTCCTTGCAAAGGGAAAGGTCCTGTTTTTCCCAATTATCCACTGAAATGTCTGTCCATGCGTGTTTGGGAGCAGAAAGGTTTGAGATGAGCAGAGAAATCGCTGTGACAGCTTCAGCATCACTGGGCCTGCAGTAGAGAGCGGGGCCCCCAGCAGGGGACGTGGGGACCCCGGGGGAGCCTGGGCTGCTCTGGGAGTCAGGGGGGGCTGGCAGCTGCTGGTGGGATTATCTTGGGTTTCACGGGGGGTGCCAGATGAACTCCCTGATTTTGGCAGCTGGCAGGGAGCCCACTCTCCTTGAATGGCTCCTGCCTGAGGCTGGGCTGTGCCTGTGGCACTGACCAAGGAGTCCATGGCTGCGCTCTCAGCTGGTCTGGGAGAGCCCTGCTGAGAGACAACTGCTGAAAACCACCCAGAGCAGCACCTGGGAAATCCATGCCTTGGGGTGGAGAGCAGCAGAGGGAGGGAACTGGTGGGTCTGACCATGGGCAGTCTGGCGGGTGTGGATGTGTGATCCATGATCTTGCTCTGTGATCCTGGGCCATGTTCATTTCCATGACCCTGCTCTGTGTGCTCTGGCAGCTCGTTGCTCACTGAATTCCCTCCTCCTTCCCCCACTGCTCCCTGCTGTCACAGCCTTTCAGCTGTTCATTACCCAGCAAACTGGTGCCAATCCGTTTCAGCGATGTTCAGCGGGGCTTTGTCTGCAATAATCCCAAGGTATTGATTTAAATAATTTGCAAACATGTGGGATTAGGGTCTAATTGGGACTAATCGGGTGCAGCAGTCATGTCAACACTAGGTCGGGGCTGGGACATTCTCACATCTGCCCTTGATGGAGCTCCCTGCTGTGCCCAGCCTTGATGCTGGCTCCAGCAATGCCAGAGGAAAAATTGTTCTTTCTTGCTTCCTCCTTACCTCCAGCTGCTCTCCCGCTTTTAGGACTTTTTGGACAAATTTGGTAGGGACAGGCCAGTATCTGGCTGGCATGGGAGCCACTTCACAGCGTCCATCACCAGGTACACTGGCAGCACTTTGGGTTCTCCCAAACTTCCCAATGGCAGATCCATGCCCAGCCTAAGTGTTAAAGAGGATTTAACATTTGGCTGGGACAGATCCTGCATCTGCCAGGTGCTGATCAATACCTTGTGCCCAAGCAGCACAAGGGTTCAGATTTTAAGCTTCTGTGAATTTATGAAGGACAAACATACGGAGTCCTCCTGCTCCATTGGCCTCGGCTGCTTCCTTCAGCTGTGAGCAAAGATGAACAAAAATAGCTTTTCAGATCAGATTTGAATAACCTGGAATCTCAGTGGGAGAAATATAATGGTTTTTTCATGTCTTAAAGATGTTGGCTGGGATCAGGAATAATTTGAAGAAGCTCAGTTGGGTAATTGTACCTTTTCCTTCCCTGTGCTCACTCACAGGCTTCTCCCTTCCCCTCATCACCTCATCCCTTCATAGGGATGGGGTGCAGGGATGTCCCTTGAGGCTCCTGGGGGGCAGAGCTGGGAGGGCTGAGAAGGGGAGGGATTTACCCTTGCCACTGGGAACTGGAAGAAAAGCCCTGTTTCACTAAATGCTCGTTTTTAACAAAAAAAACCAAAACAGTTTCTGTGGGGGAAAGGACCTGTGGGCACCAGGTGAGTGGTGGCACATGAGCCCACATTGACTGTGCTGGCCCATGAATCCAGAGAAAACTGTTCCCTTAGTAAATCCTCAGAAAATACCCCACTAGATTACTGTCCCTCTGAAAAGCCCAGCTATTCAGCTTTCTGTGGATTAATAACTGTAGCATAATTAATCTCTGATTTTATTGAGTTGGTAACTTCAAATAGAAAATGAATTGATTAACGTTCAGCTTTGGCTGGAAGGTTTTTGTGGTGTGGAGCATTCCCCACCAGAACTCTGACCTCTGGCTCTGC